GTCTTTTATATATATATATATAAATATTATATATATATATATATATATATATATATATATATATATATATATATATATATATATATATATATATATATATATATATATATATATATATATATATATATATATATATATAAATAGGATGCAGGTTCGAATCCTGCCAAAGGACGAATATTTTCTATGAAAATTTCTCGGACATTCAGGCCAGTTAATATTATTTAACACTGTTTATTATAAACAGAGCATTTACTAAAATACTTGCATCTATAAAAAGAATGTTAAACATAAAAAAATGTCTTTATATATATATATATATATATATATATATATATATATATATATATATATATATATATATATATATATATATATATATATCGTATCAGAATAACGAAGAATAGCATGAAATGAAAGTACGTTCATAATATTTATTAAAATGAAAACTGTAGAATAGAAGAAATACGATTTTAAAAGTTGAAATATAGTCATGGATCGATACTTAGAAAGATACTGTAACGAGATTTTGCACTGTACTTGTTAAGAAGGCGAAGAAGAAGACATTCAAAATAGAGATAATAAGTTGGAAGAAATATACTGTTGAAATCTAGAAGAAAAGCACCCATTTAAGTGTATTATTAAGTAACGGATGAAAGACATAACTTAAAAATTAAGCTAAAAATCGACAGTTTGAACGGTAAAAGAAAAACATGAACTAAATAACGAAACATAAAACAAAAAAATTGGAATAAAACAAAACAAAATTATAAACAAGAAATGTTAACAGAAAATAAAAGTACACACGATAAATATACTGAAAAGATGTATTTTTTAAGAAAAAACTAAGTAGAACTTGGAAAAAAATAACAAATTGAGAAATAGTTTCAAACACGAAAACCGATGAACGGTGGGGAAAAAGGGTCGAAAAATGTTTAAAAGTGTAACAGAAAACTATCAAATGATAAATTAAAGTAAGATAATGAAAGGAGAAAAGAAAGGGCGACTATACGTTAGACAAATTGAAATAAAAGAAAGCAGAAAGATATGCAACATAATAGAAATATAAGCGGTGAAAAATAGTTATTTAAAAACAGAAAGAAAGAAAAAAGAAGAAGGAAATAAAGTAAGAATGAAATAAGCAACTGTAAAGAAAGAAAAAAGAGAGAGTAAAGAAAGAAAGAATGAAAGCAAATGAATTATAGAAGAAAGAAAGAAAGAAAGCAACAAAGAACGAAAGAAGGAAATATAAAGTAAGAAAGAAAGTAGTAATAAAATTCGAAAGAAAGAAAGAAAAAGTAAAGACAAAAGAAGTAGGAAACAAAAAGAGAGTAAAGAAAAAAGAAAGAAAGAAAAATAATGAAAGAATGATAAGTAAGGAAAGAAAGAAAGAGTGTGTAAAGAAATGAACAATGAAGGAGAAATCCGGAAAGAAAGAAAGAAAAAAGAAGTAAAAAAAAAAAGAATTAAAAAAATAAAGAATGAATGAAAGAAAGAAAGAAGTATGAAAGAATGTAGTAAAGAAAGAAAAAATAAAGGAAATAAAGAATGGAAGAAAGAAAGAAAAATAACCTAGGAAACGAAGAGAGTAAAGAAAGAAAGACAGAAAGAAAGACAGAAAGAATGAAAGAAAGAAAAGTAAAGAGAGGAACAATGATAGAGTAAAGAAAGAACGAAAGAAAGAAAGAGCAAGAAAAGAAAGCGGAAATAAAGAACCAAAGAAAGAAAGAAAGAAAAAAGAAGTTTAATAGAAATAAGCAAATAAATAAACGAAAAGTAAATAAACAAAAAAGAAAGAATAAAAGAAAGAAAGAAAGAAAGAAAGGACATCAATCGAAGTCGCAAATAACAGAAAATAAGTTTAAAAGAGAATCAAAAAAACAAATAAAAAGAAAAAGAAATAATATATATGGCACCCCCCCCAAAAAAAAATGCCAACAGCATAAACATTCAAGAAAAGATAAATGAAAATTAAAATAAGTGTTGTTTTTTTTCCCCCTATGTTCCTTCAGGGCATATATCTTCACGACTCTCGACAGATTTCGTTTGTTAATTATTTGTAAATTGCAGTACCTTCTTGGGAATGAGAGCGGAGTGGACTGCCATTGCCTTTTCTACAGTTTTGAACTCAGAGATAGGCTGTTCTGCAACACCAAGATTTTTATCTACCTTTCGCTACAGCTGATGCATAAAAGATTTTTATTTAAACATCAGTAGGAAAGTGAACCAAACGAACTCAGCAGGAATTCGAACTTTGAATTGTGATACTACATTTTGCAATGGCAACAGTTAGCCCACAGTGATGTATCCCCAATATATATATATATATATATATATATATATATATATATATATATATATATATATATATATATATATATATATAGAGAGAGAGAGAGAGAGAGAGAGAGAGAGAGATTAAACCATAGCTGGGGCAGAGAAGAAAGTCTGATTAATACATTGGAGCATATGTCACTGTAGGCTAACTTATATTTATATATATATATATATATATATATATATATATATATATATATATATATATATATATATATATATATATATATATATATATATATATATATATATATATATATATATATATATATATATCCCATATTGTGTCACATCTTGATATTGTATAAGTATATATATATATATATATATATATATATATATATATATATATATATATAAAAGGCTTAAACACTAATATGGAATATTTTGTGTTTAAGCCTTTTTTATTATATTCTTACTTTGTCCTGGACATTGAGTTCTATCTGGAATCTATCCTCTTGGAATTATTTTTTGTACAAATATATATGTATGTGTATGTATGTATATATATATTTTCATATGTTAGATATATGATTTCATATGTATGTGTATATTTACCACTAATATCATATATATATATATATATATATATATATATATATATATCAAAATTAAACCATAGCTGGGGTTGAGGAGAGTTAGATTAATGCCTTTTTCAAAAGTATATGTCCGTAAGTCATTATAACTGGCCTAACTGAAATTGGAACTCGATTCTTTAATTAAACATTCCGTGGCATTATGCATGACACCATGCACGAATCCAAGATTACATCACCTGGCATTCCCAAGAGGTCCCCCGTGTAGGTACTTACTTGGCTCAAAACGATTTTAAACGACTGAACTCATCTGATAGCGTACATGAAAGGGAACTATGCCCCAGTGTGTGAATGTAGAAATGCACGATGATTTTCAAAAGACACACGCATGCATAGATAAAATTAGACACAGAAAAACACACATATATATATATATATATATATATATATATATATATATATTCATTAAAAGAATTAAAATATATATTATATACACGCAAAAAGACATGCACTGAAACACCTGCATCTAAACACTGACAGTATTACACCTACATTCCAACCTAAACAAAATAAACTTACACACAGAGATTGTTGTGTCGGAAACCTACCACCCCTCTTGAAGATGAACTTGTCTGCGTCTGTGAACAAAGACTTTAAATAGTGGCATGTCAGTTGACATGGGGAAGATAGATAGACCGAGAAGTTCTTAGCTGAGCTAGTTATTGACTACTCAGGCGATTTCTGTACCTTTTTTACCAACCTATTAAAACCCTTTTTATTGTTACGTGTTATTTGGCGTTTGTCTCTACTAACCCCAAATCAACATCATAACAAATAAAGAATTAAAATATATATTATATACACGCAAAAAGACATGCACTGAAACAGCTGCATCTAAAGACTGGCAGTAATACACCTACATTCAAACCTAGATAAAATAAACTTACACACAGAGAGCCACACATATAAGCTACAAATAAAAATACGTACTTTAGGACGCATACAATCTCATACCCCAAAACAAAAACCTTACATAGAAACATAAACACGCATATACAAACATAACTAAAGAATCACAAGGTAATACAAATGCAAGCGCTGGTAAAAGACACATATATATGCGAGAAAACAGTCAATGCACAGAATCAATTGGAGATAAGTATATATATAAAAAAAAACTTCATAAATAAAATTAAAGATTTGCGTAAAGAGGAGAATATGTCTAAGTTAGGGAAATGATGACAATAAAAAAAAAACGCGACACATAAAAGGAAAGGACTTGCAATAAATGAATGAAATCTCAACAAAGAGAAAGAAAAAAAAGTTTAAAATGAAATTCGAATTAATGCAAGCAAAATAAAAACGAAAGCATCGGACGACGTATAGAAATAAAAACGGCCTAAAAGAAGGAGAGGTGGAAACAGGAAGACGATCGCTGATTTCGCCCGGACGGGATAGCTTAATTTGGTTGTCAGATTAAAAACGTTTCTTGAATTAACAATTTGATTTCAGAAAGATTTCCAGCTTTTCTCCAGTAATACTCCTGTGGTCCTTCGCAGTTTCCATTGAAATGAATGAGTAGTCAAGTCAGGTTGAAAACAGCGTTGAAGTTTTATTAAAAAAAAAAAAATAAATAAAAATAAAATAACATTAATAGTAATGTTGACGAGTGGAACTGAATCAAGACAAGTAAACATCAGAACAGTTTGCTTGACTAAAAAGAAAAAAAAAATAGATAATCTAACGAAATATCGAAAACATGGAAAGAGAAATAAACAAGTAACATTCATTGGTTCTTGAAATGATTTGTGGTCTAATGTCGAAAAAAATGTATTTATTTATTCAGCACGAATGATTTTTTTTCAACATAATCATGTTTCTTTGCCAATTAGCCTCATCCAACCTTTCTAGTTGGATCATATAGATTTAATATTATACTGTGAAAAGTTCAGTTCACAATAAATGTAATAAAAGTGTTAGGTTACAGATATATTAATTAACCTTCGTACGGAGATAAAATCAAAGAAAGAAAGGAAGAAATTATATAGATGATGAAACAGAAAAGAAAACGATACTACGAATGCAGAAAGTGTGTAGATTTAAAAATAAAGGTGAACAAGAAAGTGCCGCTTAAAAGAAAGGATTAGAAATAGATAATATCTGTATTTTATAAGAAAGAGGAAACGAAAGAAAAAAATAAAGAAAGAAAAAATTAAAAAAAGGAAAGACGGAATGAACGAACCAATGAACGAAGAAAAAGAAGAAAGTGTGTCGGTTAAAAGTAAGATATAAATACCTGTAGCTTAGAAGAAATAATGAAAAAGAAAGAAAGAAAAAAAGAAAGCCTGTTCTTTAAAAGAAAGGAATAAAAAAATGGGATAATCTCTGAATTATATGACAAAGGAAGGATGAAAATGAAAGAAACAAAGAACGACAGAAAGAGGGTAGTTTAAAAGAAAGGATTAAAAAAAAAAAAGATAAAAAACAATCTCTGTAGCATACAACAAATGAAGAATAGAGAAAGAAAGAAATTGTGTCATTCAAAAGAAAGGATGAAAGAAAGAAAGAAAGAAAAAAGAAAGAAAGAAAGAAAACGTGACGTGTAATGGGAAGGATGAAACAAGAAAGAAAGTGTGACGCGCAAATGAAAATCTGAAAAAAGAAAGAAAATTTGTTATTGAAAAAGGAAGGAAGAACAGAGAAAAAGGAAAGTGTATTTTAAAAAGGATTAAAAGATAATGAATGCGCGCAGAAGTTACACAGACGGAACGAAAGGAAGAATCCATTAATTAAAATTCTCTCTCTTTCTGTCTCTGTCTCTCTCTCTAGACATACACACGCTCGCGTACACACACACACACACACACACACACATATATATATATATATATATATATATATATATATATATATATATATATATATATATATATATATATATATATATATATATATATATACACAGGCACATGGCCGAGTGATTAGAACGTTTGCTTTCTGAGACCCGGGTTCGAATGTCAGCATAGTCGATTTCTATGGAGGAGGCGATTCCAGTATGTGGCACCTTTGGCAAGTGCATGAAACCCATACCACAGACTGAACCAAGCCTTGTGAGTATAATTGGATAGAAGGAATAATTGGGGACCGTCGATAGCTGCGCTCACACGAAGCCAAGTGTCATTTTGATCGACGGATTCAGAGTGCTGGCCTTGTTCATATTGTGGATCACGTGAGATAACACGCTCTCTCACAGTAACAGCATAGTTCTGTATAAACCACAGCTTGAACAAAGAGGCGTTGAAGAAAATGAGCGTATGCCTGCAGTAGGGATTGGATAGCTGCTATATACGTGTATCTGTTTGTGTGTGTGTATGTATGTATGCATATATATATATATATATATATATATATATATATATATATATATATATATATAAGTTATACACAATACATTACATTAATTTAAAGTATATATATATATATATATATATATATATATATATATATATAATATTAAATAGGTATGTTATTTACCATTGAGCACTGTTTTTTTCTTACACTTTAGTGTATTTATATGTATTTGTATATGACCACTCACCCACTCGCTCGTATACCTACTTATACTTAACCATTCGGTTATATATACGTATATATATATATATATATATATATATATATATATATATATATATATATGTGTGTGTGTGTGTGTGTGTGTGTGTGCATGCATATATATATATATATATATATATATATGCAAATATTTGCAAAAACAAAAGTGCTCACGGGCACACACGCGAACCCTACACAACAAAGGAACTCTGTGTGTGAACGTGTATGTGTGTGTGTGTGTGTGTGTATGAATATATGTACATATGTGTATACTAATTCCTTATAATAAGAAAGTATGTATCTATGTAGATGGAATATACATATACATACGCATGATGACAGAAACTCCAAAAAACGGAAATAGAACACACAAGGATCATGAAAAGATAAGAATACAGATATCTTTCTCACCTTTTCTCGGACCAGTCTTAATTGTTTTATTAACCTTCACGCAAAACATTTCACTGTCATTTCAAGGAATACATTTGGATCACTAACAAACAAAAAAGAGAAAGCCTAATATTGAGAATATTTAACATCGAAAGGCATCAGAAAAATTAATTCCATTTAATAATATGTGGAAATACCCACTCTTTACCTGATGAAGGTCACGAAACCGGAAACTCGTGTAGAAAAATTATTGAAAATAAAGCATAATATATTAAAAAAAAAATCCACATTACAAGCAAAAACGTTTGCGGTTTCTCTCTTCTTTTAATATACACACTTTTCTCTCCTTGGAACTACTCTAACCTCTTCCCCTTTATATATATATATATATATATATATATATATATATATATATATATATATATATATGTAACCCGGATATAAGAGAGTTGTCGGGGCCGGAGAAAAAGTCTCTTATATCCGGGTTTCTCTTATATCCGGGTTTGGTCTATTATATATACATTAACACAGGCTCTAATTTGGGACCAGAGAAAATCTATCTTATATCCGGGTTTCTCTTATATCCGGGTCTCTTATATCTGGGTTACACTGTATATATACTCAGGTAGGTAGATATCACGGAATAATCTTCGTTTTGCAAAGTGTATTTTCTTACATAAAAAACGAAGCGACGGTAAAAGTTCCAAGTCAGAGATAAAATGATTTTATTTATGTTTTTGTGTGAGAAGCAAAGAAAGAGGCAACGAAAAAAAAATAAACAAACAAAGCCTTCAGATTTTAGCGAAAACATTAATTTATGTACCTTTTAAGATATACGGAAAACTAAGGCCCGTGAATACAGTTCATGTCGTGCAACAGAAGAATGTCTTTTAAAACAAATTTTCGATAACAAATCAGTCTTTGCTTTCGTCGAGGGGAATAAGGAGATCCGTATCCCTTCCTTGCCTGCAAACCAGTCTCTTTACACTGCTGAACTTTGTCAGTGTAGTGCCCCACTTTGAAGAAATTAACACGTCTTCCTGTCTTTACATTCGAGAAATTACTCGTTTTTTTCCCAAATGCTTGTGGATGTAAATCGAACAGACGCGCGAAGAATTTGCTACACTGGAAGCTTCGTAGCAATCAAGCTCTTTCTCCCAACATTCAGATTGATACTGTCTTGTATTCACTGTCATTTCAAACTTCAGACAGCTTGTTGGAAATCATTTCGGTTTCTTTATTTGATTGTTCCGTTCTCTCATGACCTAACACGCGAGCGTCCAATCAATGCGTACTACATACATCTTAGTTTTCTAATGAGATTTCTGGGTTTTTGGGGGGGTTTTTTCACGCGTGCTCTCTTTTCGACGCAAGAGAATTTCAGAAACGATACAGAAAAAAATAAAATGTTATTATAAACCAAAGCAGAAAATTATAACAAAAATATATAAGGGCAGTTAAATGTTGAAAATAAAATAAGAAAAAAAAAACATGCTTCCAAATAAAACAAAAATATGTTTGATAAAGCATCAGTGCCGTATTAATGGTAAGAATTGCCAACGTTCTAACCACTCGAGCACGAGACACGGGTTCGAATCTCACCATGACCGATTTTTCAAGAAGGACACTTCCTGATGTTATCGAACTAGAGGATGTCGATCACAGCGTACGGCACCTAGGGAAATTGCCTGAAAACCATACCATGAGTTGATCCAAGCTTTGTGAGTGAAATCGAGTAGACGAAAGCCTAGCACGAAATAACAATTCATCGTGGCTGAGGGCTTGAGTGTGCTGGCCTTGTTCAAATTCTTGATCAAGTTAGATAACACGCTATTTCCCAGAAACTATAACTAACATCTGCTCAACATAGTTGTAGTATAAACCACAGGTTGGCTCTGTGGTTGTTGAATAAACAAAAATGCGCCTGAGCAAGCGTCTGCAATAAGGATTGGCTAATCAACCTTGTAGAATAGTATCCTCGAATACCAGTGGCCAGCTATACATATATATCGTATTAATACAATCACTGTGATTTTATATCATTACGATTAACAAAAAAACGTGACATTCCTCTTTTATGTATCGTCTCCCTACAGGACGAAAACGATGATGGCCCTCCACATCATCCTCTTCCTTGTAACACTTAGTAAGTTTTATTTTTGTTATTTCTCCCAAATTATGTTCCACCGTCCATTTACTCAAATCCATGAAGTATGATGGAGTAATGAATAGCGGCTAGGATTGAGAAATCGGGGAGCCGAGTTCGAATTCCAGTCGAATCCATTACATTCACTTAGGTGTTTGGGAAAGGTATGAATCCTCTTTTCTCAGCCCCCTGCTGTGGGTAAATAGCAGGACGTACTGGGTTCAATGGCCTTGTCTAGGAGAAGGACAACTCTGAATTAAAAACATATTCCTCCCTGTTGGATGTAGTGCAGTAAGTTAAACATACTTAAATACTGGCAAGTTACAGAAACTTGCGTCACTATGTTCCTTAAGGAATTTAAAGGTATATTATATAATATACCAAGCTGCTTTCCTCTGTCCATTAATCATCCCTGTGAGCATCAGATTTTCCGAGCTCTCCTTCCTCGTCATGTGCTCCAAGAAATTTTAACTAACTCTTCCTGATATTAAGTATAAGTTTCCTTTTTGTTTCCATCTCATCTAAAATCTCTTAGTTGCTCCCATGCGCGGCCCATAGTTACCTCATCATCTTTCTATAGAACCACATTTCTATCGCTTCAAGTCTTATCATCTTTAAGGAGAGTGTCCAGCATTCGCTACCATATATTACGTAATATTTCAGTACTGAATTCTCTGTTTCTAACGAAATTTTTCTGTCTATTAATACTTTTTAAATGCATCTTTGGCCACCCCAATACATCTTCGGATCTCAGTAATCTCTATCTATAAAAGTCAGGAAGCGCGCGTGCGCGCGCGTGCGTGTGTGTGTGTGTGTGCGTGTGTGTGTGTGTGTAACGAATGCACGGCCGCAATTTTAGACGGATTTGCACCAAAATTTACATGCACATGCTCCAAATAAGCGGGAAGGCAGGGACCGACATTGCATTTCTCAACTCCCATCGATAGTGGAAATAATCGATATTTTCATGCTTCTACGGCACTTTTCATGTAGTTTGTAGCCATTTTCTACTGGCCAGAGTGAGATCCTATAGCTGGCTGCCACGAATAGGCAGGGAGATTCTAATGGCCAGCGTGAGAGCCAACAGCTGACTGACACGAATGTTAACTAGCATGCTAGCATGTAAAAAAAATCGATAGCTGCATTCGTCACAAGTGGGAAAAATTTAAATCTGCATGGCACTTTACTCCAATTGGCTCATTCGCTTGCTTAAACTCAACGTTGATTCTGATTCCGCAGAACTGTGTTCGGTGTGGAAATGTATTTGTTGTTAACATTCTTTTTTTATTCGGTTTTTCCAGTTACGAGCCGTTTTTGAAAGCTGATGGTTTTGTGTTCATTTTGTTTAGTTCTTTTTTCTGTGACGTCCCCCGGTGTCGCTGCGCCAATCGTGACGTCTGCCTGGCCGCGCCCATAGTGCTGTCCTGGTCGCGCCCGTCAATTGTGACGTCACCCCGTCTGTCTCCGCGCCGTTGCCGTCCTATCATGTCTCGTGACGACCAAT